TAAGAGACTTCACCACCTTCATTTATAGACTTGGCTTTGCCCTCCCTGAAGCTCTCCCTTCTTCCACCATCTTCTAGCTTCCCTTTTTCGGTTTCTTGTTTGTTGGTAGACACCAGGCCAGAAGCTTAAGTCCTCTCTGGGCTACTCACTAGATCACTCCTCATGCCCAGGGACTCCTTCAAGACAGACAAGGACCACTCTACGGCAGTTTTCAGAAAGCTCCTCTTTCCTGTGCCCTGACCCCAAATGGCCTCTCTAGCCCAGGATCTAGGTTTATGGCTAGGCTTTCTGGCCACCTTTTCCCATCATATCACCCTAGGTCTTTTAACTGAGTCCAAGGAATTTACATTACTCCTTCAGTTCACCACAGCCAGCAATTAACTGGCTACTTGTAGTTTAACTCCAGTATCTTATTTCTGCTTATTGCCGGTAAGCTTGTAGCTTGTTGCTTTGGAGTTGTTACCCTTTTAATTCCCTGTAGATGGCCCCAATTCAGCAGCCAGCAATGTCTGGCAGCCACATAATACTGCCCTCATTCTCTCTTAAAGTAACTGGTGTTACTTTACTAGCCCCCTGTTATACCTAGTATCAGAGATGATCCGAGCAGGGTGTGGGGCCCTGGGCAAATCAGCCTGTGTGTTGGACATGAAGCCAGCAGCAGTGCAGGGCCTGGGGCAGTTGCCCTGATTCATGCCCCTCTCGGGATGGCCCTGCCCAGTATTGGGGCTCCTGAGCCCTATAACATTTATCAGCTGTAATTATGCTAATTTATGCAGCAGGCAAGGATTTCTTGGGGGGGGGGGGCGTATTTTTTACTGGACCAACATGTAATGACTTGAAGAAAAATGTCTTGCATCTAAAAGTCTGTCTAACTTTATCCCAACTATGCCGCTGGTACCCTAAGAATTCTTTGCCTCTTGCATAATTCCTGGACCATCATAGCTAAAACATCACTCTGACAATACCAATGTATGCAGAACTATTACAAAGGCACAATCTGTTTGCCAGATTCATATAGGAATGGCACTCATTTAAAGCTCAAATGGCTACACAGGTTAGTTTTTCTTCCAAGGTCTACAATAATATGTTGGCTGTTGAACACTGTTTTATAACTGGTTTTCAGTTAGTCTTATAGTTTAAGAATGAGAATGTTTTCAATCTACAACTAATTGCCTTCTCAGTAAAATTTAAAAAAAAAGTATACATCTAAATCATCAAATCTTCCAGTCCAGTCTGACAGAATGAAGAAAAACATAAAGAAAAAAAGCGGGTTCTAGAAGAAAAGATTGTGAAATGTAAAATATTTTTCCTCACTCCATAGCCTTGAAGGTTATGCCCAATGAGAATTTTCCTTGGAATTTTCTTTTTCTAGGCTCTGATTCTCCCAGCTGAATATAAATCATAACACTTCATTTGAACGAGCAAGACTAGAGGCAATGATTGTTTGACATTACTGACTATTCCTTTTCCAAACCTATTTCACTGAAGGGTTTCAATCCAATCTTGGTCAGCATAAAGTGAATACATTAACATTTTTGCTGCATCCATTTTAGGCCAATAGACCCAAGCTGTACATTGTGTAATACTGTGATATAGTAGATTCTATGTAAGACTTCTTTGCTGTTAGGGTGCATTCTGCTTTTGCTCAAGCCTTTTAGCTACTTTGTCCAAATACACATGAGGCATAAGAAATGAATGGTTGCTATGGTCCCCATTACAATTTCAGTGGGTCTAAATTACTGCTTCCCTTACTGATTGGAGTGTTATCCAGGGTCCTTTTTAGCTTGTTCTTTCCACCACAGTTTTAAATCCTTCACTTATTTTAAACACACAAAGGCAATGCTTCTCTTCATTTTATCATTGCCTATAACAAATCTGAGGTTGTTTTTTTACATGAACATGATTTTGGAACTACTAGAACTCACTGTGGTTCAATAAAATTATTATTTTAATTAATGCATTTGTCATCTCAACAACTGACCCTTCTTTTCATCTACTGGTGGAGGTCTTCAATACCTAATTCAAAGTAGCTACACATGCTCTTGTGTGTTCAAGGGGACTTGATTGTTCCTGCTCTTTCTTGTCACCTGACGGATCAGATCCAGATGCGCACGCATATGAGGTTTGTGGTGCTGCAACCCTCTTTGCGTGCCCTATGCTTCAAATATGCAGCATGGGGGCAAAATTTGCTATTGGAAAATCCCAGTAGCAAAACAAACACACATACAACCCCCTCCCCCACTGCCAAACATGCTGCAAAAAAGCCAAACAAACCCCAACGTCTGCCCCCCCCACCCAAAAAACCCCCCAGTGCAGTGCACGCCACAGGAGTATGCATCAGCAGACATGGAGGCTCAGTCCTCCCAGGAGATGACCTGGCTGCTGGTCAGAGTGTCTCCACTCCTAGTTCCACCCTGGCTTCTCCAGCATGCCAGGGGAAATTTCCCTTAAGAGGGGGGTATTTTGCCCTGCACCAAAGCACGCATGCAGGAGCATGTGCAACGGTAAAAGTAGTGGCACAAATTTGTGCCACTACTTTTATTGCCACTGCAAATGCATGCCCTAGCATGTGGGGTGTGCCCAAGGGTTGCAGATAAATTATGTTCCTCTTCACTTTTGCAGCCATGTTTTGATTCATTCTTTATAAATGAAAATGTACTGTAATGAGTTGGTTAATAAAACTTCCCAAAAACTGATAATTCTCTTTCATGAAGGGAACAAAGACAACAAGGATGAGTACAAAGTCCTGGACTTGGGATGGAATAACTATATATACAGATACTGACTGGGGAATAACTGGCTAGGCTGCAATATGACAGAGAAGGACATGGAGGTACAGTAGACCATACTGGGTTGTATCAACAGGAATGTCACTTGCAAATCAAAGGAGGTGGTTCTTCTGCTCTATTCAGCACTGGTGAGATCTGACTGGAGAATTGTGTCCAGCTTTGGGCTCCACACTTCAAGAAGGATGCAAACAGTTTGGAAAGAATCCAGTGCAGAGCAAAAAAGCTGATTAGTGTCTGGGAGGCAAGCCTTAGGAGGCAGGCTGAAAGAACTAGGATTCTTAGTCTGGAGAACAGAAACTGAGGGGATATTGATAAAAGTCTTCAAATATCTGAAGGGAGATTATAAAGAAGATGGAGAAGGGCTTTTCTCTGTGGCCACAGAGGACAGGATTAGGAGCAATGGCCTCCAACTGCAGCAGGAGAAATTTAGGTTGGAGATTAGGAGGAACTTTCTGACTATGACGGTTGTCAAGGTACCTGAAGAAATTGTGGAATCTCTATCCTTGGAAGTTTTCAAGAGCAGGTTGGACAGACACTTGGCTGGGATGGTTTAATTAAAGATGACCCTACCTTGAGCAGAGACCTGGACTAGATGACCTTGTGAGGTCACTTCCAGTCCTACTTTTTTATGACCCTATGAAAAAAGTTTGATGTTTTTGAAATATGTTATCATTCTGATGTAGAATGAAAACAAGACTTCTGAATGTTTTTATTAGAAACAAAAGAAACCTGAGAGTGACAAAACAATTCCACAGCAGAGTGGATATTAAGGCATTTACCTGGAAGGAGGAAGATTCAGGTTTAAATCATTGCTCTGACACACAGCAGGGGCATAAACCTGAGCCTCCCACCTCGCAACTCAGGCCGTTTGTAGACAGTGCTCAGCATTTTCTAAACCTTGTTAACTGATTTGCATCACACAGTTTGAATCAAATTTCAATTTGAATTAATGGCTAATAGATGATTGCTGACTATCATGGTAGGGGGGCACTGACTATACACAGTCTATACACTTGACTGCCCATTAACAGAGGTTGGAAGTCAGATTTGATGTGAATATTTTGTTCTAACTAATAATAATTAGAACAAAATATACTAATAAACCTGTAAAAGCACTGCTACATTGTTGTGGCTATCTAAAGCCCTGTTCCAGAAGTTATCTGAGCAATCTACATTGTTAGGGTTGCAGTTATCTAAAGTGTTGTCATTGACCTGATACTTAGCAGGGTGAGGTGTTGTTGGCACCTTTGACTTTTTAAAGGTGTTACTTTATGCCTGATAGCCTCGATTGTTTTGCAAAAACCCAACTGAATTTCCCTTGCTGGGATTGATATTTGCAATGCTTATCTGAGATCCTAAGGACTGTTTTTCCTAAAAGCAACACTATATATACATGTTAATTAATACATTTTAAATTGCCTGATTTGGACTGCCCTAGTCTGCATTCACTTTAACCCGCATTCAGTGAGGATTACTTAATTCAGACTGGAGCCAATTTTAATTTGGATTACAGACATCCACATGTATATACTTACAGCTGTACTGCAGATTAAATTTATAAAAACACAGCCTTTATAAAGGGCCTCAATGCCCTAACCACTTGGTTCTTTTGGGTGGTGTCTCTCTTTCTCTGGTCAGAAAAATCCATCCTGGACTGGAGAAAAATCTGGGCAAACAAATTTTGACCACTTCTTCTCATTAGTATGTCTCTGTATCAGCACTTTCTATAGGACATCTCAGACTCATGTCATACAGCTATTGCTTGTAGGAGATTCTTCATGAATTAACTCCCAGTTATTATGAACGTGAATTTGGGAATAGGTCGATTTATTTTATCTCATCTGCCACCACATAGTTCCAGTTGGCCATGAAGTGCAACTGTGTAATAACTATAGAGTCCTAGGTGCCTAATTGGCTATGGGTTTGGTTTATTTTTGATGATCATATTGAATTTAACAAAACTGTTAATTTGGGATAATATGAAGAGTGGCCTTTTTCATAAATGCGTGACTGAAAACCAGAGTGAAAACACTTTCTGGGATCACTTTAAATAGTGGGATGACAGAAATTTCTCCCGTAACATTTTATTTTGTTTTTCTTTTCTGAAGTGGAAGCAGATTAAGCAAGGAACATAGAGAGTTGAGGTGTCATCTTATTTTTACTCCAGGCAAACCTGGAGAAGTAACGGCTGAAAAGTAGGATTTTACTTACTTATCGTAGATCCAGATTCAGGCCTGTTCAAAGAGCTGATGATAACAAAGCCAAACCCTTCATTCTCTTTGCGGTGGATGACAACATCACTGGTTTGTAAGCTGTGTGAACTAAAGCCCTCTGGGGGTGTAGCATTACTACTAGATACAGCATGATTACTGTTAGTGTAAGCAGCATAGTCACTTCTTGGAGAACTGTGGTGAGTAGACACTGAGCCTGGGCTTCTGCCATTCTCTGGGCACGGTTCTCCTGAAATATAAATCATATCATTGTTACACTCTGACTTGTTCAGTGGCATTCTGAGTTACAGTACATTTGCTAATGCAACATGAATACAACTGACTATCTACTGCACAGAGTACTGTGAATATTAAGTAGGGGAACTGTAACAGATGTGGAAAGACAGGAATCTACCTGATTATGCAAAGCATTCAAGGGCAATCAGATAATACAAACTGCTATATTGCCCAAATATGAGGGGAGAAATTCCATTGCAAAAAGCAGCTGAAACCTTGGTAGCAGAAAGTTGAGAGCCATTTTCTGGCCTATTAGCTGATGTGTCATCTAATGGAAAATGTGACTATCTAATCCAATATAAAAGTATTTGTTTCTAGATTCAAAGAATTTAAGCAGGCAGATAATAAAGGATTAGCTGCATAATTTATCTCTTACAAATTGATTAGCATACTCAAACAATGTTTATGGAATAGGAGAGCAATACAATGAAAAATAATCACAAGCAATTGTTCTGTTGATGCATCCACAGCAACAGTGCTCATTTATAAGTTTTAAAGATGTTGTTGAATACAGAGTTTAAATGATAAAAAATGCAAATTTAGTCCATTAACTTTTCAGCTATGACTTTAGCATAAGTAAAAGCAGAGAGGAAGAAAAATGTAGTGATATTAAGTATATCTTTATACAAGCATTGCTGGCAGACAGAAACTGTTAATAGTAACCTGAAGTTTGCACACAGAAGAGCGTAGCTTTATTCAGATTAATCATATTTTATCACTGTTTTAATACATCTGGATATTAGGGCTGTGCGAGGCTTTGGACAGAACGTCGGATCCGGAGAAGCTTCACACGTTTTGAGGTCTGAAGCAACACGTCTGGGTCGAAGTGCTGGCCTTGTTTGGCTTCCCGAAGTGGTTTGGAGCTTCTGAAGCGCTTCGGAGCCGCCTTGGATATCCGGCCATAGGATATAATGGGTGTGCAGGCCGGCTCCCAATCCCATCCTTGCCATGTGCGAGCTGGGCCCGTCTTTGTGCACGCAGGCTGTGGCCAGCAGCCCGGGCACGCGGGGCTGGAGAAAACTGCGGGGCGGTTTGGTACGCACGAGCTAGAATCAGTTACGGAGGCGTAATGGTTGATTGAAAAGATTATTTACTTACACCAAAGATGGTCGCGGTGTAGGCTGGACAGCTTTCCAGGCACAGCTCCGCTTGAATCCTCATTGGAGGACTCTGACAAACTCGGTTCTTTGACCCCGGAGTGGTTTAGGCTCCGCGGGTTCGGCAATTCTTTCCTCACGGAGTGGCTGAATCTCCGTGGGTTCTACTCGGTTCCCAGGTCCCCCAGAGCTGTTAAGACTCCGTGGGTTCGAAAATTGGGTATATAGGATAGGGATACGTCTAGGATTGCGCTCGGCGACGGGGAGAGGCCAGAGGCTGTTTAGACCTCTGTTGCCTTCTTAAGAGAGACGCGCTGGGTCTGCTAGGGTCCACATCGCTTAGAGATCTTCACACAGCACGAAGTCTCTTCCGCTTCTCTCCACTCCTTTGCTTTGCTTTGCTTTGCTTTGCTTTGCTTTGCTTTGCTTTGCTCTGCTCTGCTCTGCTCTGCTCTGCTCTCCGGCTTGGGCGGATCTAAATACAAATGGCGGGAACTCCTTTGCACCGTGGATCACCATGATGCAAAAGAAATGCACCATGCAAAGAAGGCTACAAACGGCGGGAAATATTCTTTTGCACACGGGTTCTCCTATTGCAGCAGAACACTCCACCGTGCAAAGGAGCTGCAATTTAGCGGGAACATAATTTAGCGGTGCCGAAGCACACACAAACAAAAAAACCCCACAACTTTGGGTTGTGACAATGGGAAACAATAAAATATCTATAACGTTGTTGTTTGTTGTCCAATTTGGATAAAACTTGCAGAAACAGTAGCTTCTGCTGAGAGCATGAAGCTTGCAAAGTTTCAAGTAGATTGGTGCAGGGGTTTGGGGGAAACTGCACCCCAAATTCTTGAAAGCAAAACTCATGTCATGTCTAGGTGTTATAACACAGGGGGGTGAAAGCTGCAGGGGTGGTAGCCTATGCTAAGGCCACAAGGCCTGCCATGTTTCAAGAAGATCGGTGCAGGGGTTTTGTGCCCACAAAGCCTGCCAGCTGTTGAGAAGATGGGTGCAGGGGGGTTCTGGGGCCCTGCACCCCTAGCTGCCAACAGGCAAAACTGGTGCCATGGGTGCTTGTGGGACTGACTGTGTCTGTCTTGGGGCATGGGAGACACTACTGCAGGCCTGGCTGCTAAGCTACTGTGTTACCAGTTACCCATCAATCATGATTCACTCAGGGACCAGCTCAATACACAGGACATAGCTAATGTAGCCAGTTAATCGCCATCAATTAGCACCTACAAGCCAGGCTAAGGAGCGGAAAGAATTAATACAGACAATCGACTGCCCCAAGACAGACAGAGTCAGTCCCACCAGCACCCATGGCATGAGTTTTGTCTGTCAGCAGCTAGGGGTGCAGGGCCTCAGAACCCCCCTGCACCCATCTCCTCGACTGCTGGCAGATGTCCTGTCCGCAGCAGGGGCCACCCTCCCTGCGGCTGTCACCCTGCTGCGCCTTAACACACACAGGGTTTTGCTTGTCCCCAGCTTGAGGGGCAGTTCCCCCCAAACCCCTGCACTGATCTTCTTGAAACGTGGCAGGCTTTGTGGCTTCAGTAAGAGCTACCATCCCCTGCAGTTTTGACCCCCCTGTGATGTAACACACAGCTGTGACATGAGTTTGGCTTTCAAGAATTTGGGGTACAGTTCCCCACAAACCCCTGCACCAATCATCTTGCAACTTGGCAGATTTCATGCTCTCAGCAGAAGCTACCATCTCTGCAAGTTTCATCCAAATTGGACAAAAAACAACAAAGTTATAGATATTTCATTGATTCCCCCATTATACCCTATGGCCGGATCTCCGAGGTGGCTCTGAAACTTCAGAGCTGCTTTGGCCGGATCGATGCAGAAACCTAGTCGGGAGCTCTGGATCAGATCGCAGCCATCCAAAGTGGCCGGATCCAAAGCCGGATCGGATTGCTGTCGACTTGCACAGGCCTACTGGATATAAAATAGCATGTATTTTGTTCACAGCAGTAGCAACAGACTAGTTATGTTACAAACTTCCTGAAGAGATTCACATACCCCAGGAAGAAAATGTACAGATTAGAAATGGAATGTCTCAGCATAAAATATTTTTGTCTTAGTAAAGAAACATGATCCAAGGATAAGCTGTTGAATTTTCAGGAAAGTGTGTCCTTTAGCAGACCTTGTGTGACTTTGAAATTAAGTGATTAGAGAGAATGGAAAACAAACAATGATTATACTGAGACATTAGAATTGAAAATCTTCAAGAGTTATTGAACCAAATCTGCAACTAAATGCCATAGTCAGTGACAAGAGAGATCTCATTTTCTGGCTGTCATGTTTTAGAAGGTTGAATACTGTTTATGTTGGTAGGGCTGTAACAAAAAGAAAATTATCTTTCCCTTCTGAATGATCAGGAGCTAGCTTAGCTAGAAATGAATGCAACAGATTGCTATGAAGTACAGGAAAAGAATGATAAAGGAGGGGAAGAGAAGTTTAGATGGCTGTTAGAGTTTTATCAGAAATATTTAACTTTACTTACTCTTCTTGCAAAAAAATAGCTTCTAATTTCTAAATGCTTTCAACTGACACCCCTTCCTAACAAAATAGTTTTCAGGGTTGGTAATGTTGCTATGTCAGTTCTGGGGAAAGAGGCAGTCTATGATTCTGCTGACAAGCTGTACAAAATATTCACGTCAAATCTTAAACTCCTTTTGGGTGATGTCTTCTAACCTCAGATTTTGCTAATTTTCTGACAGCTCAAAACTGGTGAACATCTTTCTACCCCGTCTCCTAGAGAAAGCCCTTGAAGACATGGAGGAGAGGAGGGATTCTCTTTACAGATTGGAGTTTTTTTTTTTAAAACTTATGAATAAAATTGCTGGGCTGTGTTTGAAACTGAAGCCAACAATATCTGCACAGCCCTTGTCTTGAGTCTGTGGTTTGGGAGTGTGTATAATGGGACCACCTAAGGAGATCTTTCTTTCTAGGGCCCTTCCTCTACACCTATTCTGTTTATTCAACCAGTACTGCCTGCAGCTTGTTCTTTCTCTCACGCTTATTTGTTCCTTTTATTTTCTTTCTAGATAACCTCAAGCTGTCTAAGTACTTTTATGCTTGACTTCCACAACTTCCAGATATCATTCACAGGACATGAAGCTATTAACCAGACAGAGGACAAACATATTTGTGAATGTCAGTGTATTAAATATTCACAACATTCAGCATGAATCTTTTCAATTGTTATGTCAGGGGAAATAAAAAGGAAGCCATTTTTAAAAAAAGAAGCAATTCTTTTTTTTTCTTTTGTTTTTTTCAAATTCCAGTTTTCCTTACATTTTCCCCCAGGTATTTCTGATTTTTCCATAAAGCAAACATGTTTGCCATGCAGAGAAAATTGATCATATTCTTCTCTCAGTTAAATCTGTGGAAGCCTATTGATCGCACTGAAATTGCATAAGTTAAACTTAGATGAGCATCAGACATACCCAACAAATACAAAAGTCTTATTTGTTTGAAACTGAATGCATAGATAACAAGGCCTTAATCCTTAGGTTACAATGTGCAGGCAGACATCTCTGCATAAACCCTGTTTCTTGCAGAATCAGGGCCTTAATGTTGTACATCAATATGAACTGAAAGCATTACAAAACTATAAGACTAATTGAAAGCACTGGGAAAATACTTCTGCAACCTACTTTTTGATGTACAAATATTTTACAACATCATAAGGAAAACCCAAATTCTTCATATTGCACATGCCCAGTTGAATGATAAATTCATGTCAACCCAATCAGTCTTAGGTGTGATGTGGGTGAATATATTTTCACTGGTTTTGTATTGTTCAGCTTATCTCCATGTAAATTATGCCTCATTGTTATTTAGAGAACATATATTATAATTAATTTAACATCCTATAGGTTCATAAGCAGGTAAACAGTAATGAGTCAGACACTATCTTTCTCACTGTGTCGCTATCCAGGCTAAAGAATAATTCAGGGTGTTTTACCTGGTTAATTCAGTTTTTGTGCCAGGAGTGCAGGGTGGCTAGTAGAACCTCTTACAAAGTTCTGTGCATAATATAAGGCAATCACACACCAAATTACAACTACTCTGTATTATTGCTTATCATTTTCTTGCCTGCGCCCTATCTCTACATAGGCTGATAAGATCTGCCAACCTCTAGGAAACTAAGTACTTCACATATGTTTAGTGTATTACCTTGGTTACTGGCCATTTTCCTAGAGTTTGGGGAGCTGCTTGGCGGTGTTGTGCCAGGTTGGAGGGAGGGTTTCTGGCTGCAGGACTCTAGAGTCAGTAACAGAAGAAAGTCAGTCCCAAGATGGGGGAAGACTGGTACAGAACTGACAGCATGCCAGAGGTGGGAGATAGGGACTATGAAGAACAAGAATTAGGTTGGGAACATAAACTCTTTGGCTCAAGGGGGTGAGCAAGGAGGTAACGGCAAGGGAGATGAAGCAGGGAAAGAAGAAAGACTCTTTAGTAGATGGAGAGGGAGGAAACAGAAGGGGTTGTTAGCAGGATTTTGCTCACTTTTGATCCCTCAGTAAGGTGCACTAATGACAAGTGTGTTCTCAGGGTTATATTAGATTATTAAACACCATTTTCTCTCCAAATAAGCAGAGATCTTAACTGAATGAAAACAGAACTTGTACTAATAGATGCTGCTAGGATATACATTAAAAAAAAATCCCATTCTGTGTGTGTTACTAGTAGCACCTCATTTGTTCCTGGTTGAAAAAATTGTAACTAATTTGTCTTCCATTCTAAATGTTGTTTTAAATGTGTCACTTTAAATGGTTGGAGAGAGGAACCAAACTACCCTGTTCCTAGAATTTATTTAAATAACACTAAAAGGATTGAGCCAGCTCCCTTGAAGTCCATGGCAGAATGCTAATTAACTTCAGAGAGGGCACAAACTAATATCAAACTAATAAAAGGCACCTTTTCCTTAAATAGCTTAGTCTTTGAGCCTGTTCCTGCTTGCCTTACTGACATGGATGACTTCAACAAGACCCGTGACACAAACAAAGCACTGTTTGGCCCTAAAATGGCACAAATGGGGAAGACATGGGACAACACAGCATGTTAAAAACCGGAAAGGCTCATGACATTACACCAGGAAAAGCAGTGTTACTTCTTGATTCTCTAGGAAGGAACACTGTGCTGCACTGTTTGCATGACAAATGCTGCCAGGGGATGGCACACACAACTTTTCAATTTTTTTTTTCTTTAAAATAGAAATATTTATATTGAAGTTATTTATTTATTTAATTTTAAGCAGTATCTAAATTATTATGCATCTTACTAATGCAGGATAAGACTGGTTGTTTTTTCCCCAATCTCCTTTTAACATACCTGTTGATAGCACCTTTCTTCTCACAGTAAGATTCACTTGCCCATTTCGGGCTGCATTATGCATGAGATCAATCACATATCGGTGGGTTTTGCCAGCTACTGGAATCCCATCTACATACACTAACTCATCACCAGGATGTAGACGACCATCTCTGTCTGCAGAGCCCATTGAAATTACAGCTCCAATCAGAATCTATACAGTAAAAAGAAAAAAAAGAAAAAAAACAACACAGAAAGGTTAAATACATGTGCTGGCTGAAGCCTGCCATACCACACCTAAGATTTTGCTGGCAGTTCATCTTACTTTTACTTTTCTGTTTAAATTAATGCTTTCATGTGGTATAGGGAAACAGTGTGAGAACAAAGGCCATAGTCACTCATCATGATCCATTAAAATGTCGTTCTATTTGTCTAAAAAATGAGAACTACAAGAAACCTGAGAGTTCTAGTCTTGTAACATTTACATCAAAACTGTATCTCAAAAAGTAATATATTACTTCAGTCACAAGTGATTGGGTTAGTAGTGGTTATAGCATAAAGTACTAAATGCAGTAGTTACAGCATAAAGTACTAAAGCCTGTGGTCTGTAGGAGATCTGACTAGATGAACACAATGAGCCTTTGGGCTTTAAAATATGAAAACTTGAGTACTACCCACCCAAGTTTCCTGACTGCTCTGCAGTATAAAACAGCTGTTATATTTTACCTGAAAGGTGATTAGTGATGTGTCAAATAGTCCCTGGAAACACTTTGCACCTGCTTTAGGGTTCTTTAAGAAAAAAGATCCTGAGCAACTGCTATTGCTGATGATAAACTTTGTTAAAGAACGAGCTGACTGACAAGAAAAAGAGGAGAAATGTTAGATACTTCTGTGTGGATGGTATATTTAGATCATGGACATGCTTAAATATGTATTTAAATGTAACCCTGTAAACCCAGTGAAAAAGGAATGTTTAAAAGACTCTAATGACTTTTTTTGCAGATATATTTTTTCCAGATGCATCTTTCCATGACGCATTTATTTCAGGGGGAAAAAAATCTTCCAGACTTTCTTTCTTGTTTCAATTTGGGGTAAGCACTGCATGATGAACAAAAAAAAGGAAAAGTAGCCAGGGGAGGGGAGTAGAGCTGCTCAGGAATTAGCATAGCCCAAAGCTGTATTAATGTCTGAGCAATGCTTCCCCTGCACTCAAATTTAATAGCACCCATTGTGGGACCTATAACTGTGGCTCCTCTGGAGATACTATGCAGACAGGCACCCATAGGAGACTTTCAAGGGCTAGGTTGTGGGTCAGATTCATACAGTAAGTATTTCCACAGCAGTGACCTTGAACTCTGACAACCATTCAAAGTTCTGCAGGGTCTGAGAAGGCAAACCTCCCACAAGAAAAAAAAAGTATTCGAAGCAAGCTTCCTATCAAGAACCTTGTAAAGTTTTCCTTCTCTCAGGTCTCCCAACAGTCCTCTTTTGTTTCCAAAACATCGCAAAAAGAAAAAAAGTCACAGCATTTTCCTTCTTCCTACTGTTTTCAAGTTCCCTTTAAGTTGTGACAAGCTGAGTTCCCAGAGATTTTCCTTTTAGATATTTCATTCTATTCTTCAAAATGCTGAAAAACATCTCAAAGGTTTGGAAAGTACTTTGTGCAAAACCCAATGATAAAATATTCATTTATGCTCCTTTACTGGACAATAAAAAGCAACCCAAAGCTATGTTTAGATAGATCTCCTCTCCAAAGCTTTTCAAAAGGTTTTGATTTTGTGTCTCCAGCAAGTAAGGATTTGCAGCTAATTATCCAGGAAGACAATGTTTGTTAACTCACTATAGCTTGAAAGATTAGCATGGGAAAAACCTGTTCCTTAATTTATAATCAGAGTACTTTTCACTTACTTTATATCAGAATCCATGCTGATAAAATATCAAATAGTCTGCTCTCTTGAACCTTTAGTCTGCCAGTAGGAAGTAGAACTAGAAGTGCTATTAGTATTCATTGGCTTCATCTACACAAGACAGTGACTCCACAGCAACTAGTTACTACTACACAGCAGTGTTGTGTGGCACAAAGTGCGACGTGATGCTACTACTGTGCACTAGTAACGAGCTACTGCACAGTCAGTGTCACCTAAAAGACATTTGGTGATGCTGCTGTGTAGTAACTGTGATTACTATGCAGTCATTCAGTACTTGTGTAATTACTAAATGACTGTGCAGTAATGACTGAGCAGTCAGCATCTCGTGGAGACGTAGCCAGCTCTAAGTTATAGTCATATACTTGCTCCCTGAAAATATTTGAGTTTCATATCTGAATTACAGTTAGGCATCATAGTGGTGGTGGCTGAGTACCTATAAATGAAAATGTTGTTACATAATAGATCTTCTTGCCTTTTGATTAAAAATTATTTTTCAACAAGTTATGATTCACTGGGTGCGTCTACATATGCATTAAGGTGTTTTTTCTAATGTGCATTAATTTTAGTACCTCCAATGTGAGGTACTAAAGAAATGTGCATTAGGCTGCCTTAGTGCTGAGTAATGAAAGCACACCATTTTCAAGTAGGCTATTTTATTGCACATTAGCATCACTGCATGTTTTTTTATGTAATGCTTTAATGCGCAGTAGTATAGGCTACTGTGTATTAAAGCGCACGTGTAGACTCACCCGCTAAATAATCATCATACATGCATAATGATTTTCAAAAGCACTAAAATAAGCAGTGACTGATAAAGTTAGGAACTGACCAGTGGCTTGACTTGTCTCTTATCCTGTCTCTGACCAGCATTACCAGATCCTCCAGCAATGTAAAAAGAAAAGACATTGTAGACAATAATAGAATAATTTTTCCATAGAAAAAGTTTTTTTTCAGACCCCTGTCTAGTTAGGAGTGTTTTAAACCCTGATGCATGAAAATTTGTATTCCTTACTTTGAAAAAAAGAGTTTTCTATCATGTTCAATACATGAACCAGCATTTTGTTTCTGTTTTTTGTCTGAAGTTGTGCTTTGAGTGGTTGTATTTGCTGACCTATTCATTCAGGCCTTTTTCTTGAGTATTTCCAGTTAATTTAGCATCGGGTATACTTTAAATAGTTTCTTTCAATAATTTCTTTCAGTGCCCATTCCTTCTTTTTTGCCAATATGGTATTTGATCTGTCCCTACAGAACCCATTTTCCTAGCCTTCTAGGATCTCTCTGAAGTTTCTAACAGGCTTTTTTTTTAGTGTTGACTAAATAATTATTTTTTATCTGAAAACATTGCCACCCACTGTTCATATCCTTTTGGATCATTAATAAATTTAGGCCTAACCTTGCAGTAGCTTAATGACACTGCACAACTCATCTCTATTTTATAAATGTCTTTGTGCATACAAAGCAAGCGGAGCACTCCTGTTGAACAATTTCTTTCTAAATTCTGGTATCAGATGGACAATATAACCTGAAGCAAACTCTACTAGGGTCCTACTAGTGTGTTGGCACCATCATTTTTTAAAAAACTTTGTGTAAATTGCTTGTCATAAAAAAGTATTGCCTCATGTTAAGAAATCCAATGCTCTCTTTAAGAAACTGAAACCACCAAGACAAAAGCCAATGAAAATTTCCTTTTGTTTTGTGTTACCAGAGCACACAGCAGGGAAGCTGAAAAACAATATTTCAAAATGCCTTGCTGCACATTTCAGTGGGAATGAAGTGATTTGCAGGTGCCTTTCCTTGTCTGAATGCGAAAAGCATGGGTAACTGCAGATGGGCTGTGCATGGGGGAGCAGGGAGTCAGTGAAGGATTGGAAATGTAAGGTTGAAATGTTTCACTTAAAATCCAAGTTGCACAGACATTATGGAAATATTAGGTTTGTCTTCTTTGCAGATGATAAGTTTGATGATGCAAACAGAAGACAGTCAACAGAGAGATTTTCATACTGTTGGAATGATGACACTTTCCTATAGATTACAGGTTAAAATTGTAAATGCCTCTTATATTCATTGTTAGAGTGACTTTGTATTTAGGAAGTTAAGTCCTAATGAATTTCAATGAGGCTTAGTTTTCAAGGTTTTTTTTGAAAATGGGATTTAGATTCTAAAATCCCTAGGCAAGATTCAAAGTGCTTCTTTAGGCACCTAAATGGGACTTAGACAAAGTTTGGGGAACTAAATTTCAAATAACAATTCAAAATGGTATTATGCCAGCAGCCACAAAATTCATGAGAAATCCCCATGCTGGACTTCAGACTTCTCTAGTTACCTATAATACAATCTCTGAGCATGTGCAGCAGTGAGTCAGGGGAAGTGCTTAGGCAGGCCTCAGCATTATGTTCCAGCCTAAGTTCTGCTGCAATTAAAATACTGCTAGGAAGCATCTAAGCTCCACCTAAGTACCTGGAGAGACTTCCACCATCAAGAAGAATAATAATTTTGCCTAATCCACACCAACAGCATTGACTTTAGCTTGAAATGAGTGGTGGCGATGCCAACCTTTTATCCAATAATCCTGTAGCTAGAGTATTTGCTCAAGAACTAGAAGGGCACAAGTTTTAGATCCTCTTTACTCTGACAAGATTTGAATTTACAGCTCCTACTACCAAGAGAGTGCCCCAACCACCAGGCTCTGAGCCAGGCTAGACTGAGGCTCATCCATCCCTCCTTTTGAAACTGGACCACTGGATAGCCAACAGTGCGAAAGGCTTGGGGACAGAAAGAGAACAGGAGAGGGGGAACCTGGCTCTTTGGTTCCCTCTTAGCCCAGTGGTTATGGCCCTCTTTAAGGAGCAGGGAATCCTTGGGGTCTGGTATCTACTGCCAGGGTTATTTCTGTTTTTAACCAATGACTGTCTAATGTAAAATGTATAGATATGTCTCAGAGCAGGGGCCACAACCCAGGACTACCCCCTTCCACTGGAGTGCTGTAGCTAATAGACTACAGATGCAAAATTCCTTTTCCTTGTTTCTGGGACCCTTGCACTTTGAAGTTTGAGAGTATCAGCAGAATTTGGGCTTTGAGCACCTCGGTGGCCTGAGTTTTGTGCACGGCCACCTGGAGAAAGTCAGTCACCTACAGGATTAAATGGTGGCAAAATGGCATTTTGGTGCCTAGCTCCCTTTGTTCATGTCCACAGTGGGGTGGCAGGGTGCTGCTGTTACCATGTCTCTCATCTTCCCGCCCAACATGCTCCAAAACCAGAAATATATTGAAGAGGCTATGCCAGGGTATCACTGTGGCTGGTCTTGAGACTTTTTGGCTCAGATGTGCTTGAGAGCAGTAGCTGGGGTGACTCTGGAGTGGCCTGACCTGCAGATCTCTGGGTTTGGCATGTGTGTAGCAGGTAGGTCTGCCATGTTCAGGAACGTCGGAGCTGGGGGATGACACCGTCACGGTGCAGACACGCCTTTTGTGGATGATGATGTATATGTTTCAGAATAGAGGAGTCACCATTATAATGTCCTTATTTATCAACACATCTCTATATATAAATATGGGGAAATATACTAGTTTCTTAAACACAACCATATGAATTAAAATACAACTGTCTGAAATACATTTTGTTTGTATTGTTTTGACTTGATAAGATGTAAATGTTTTCTAAGAGCAGGCTTTTTTATTTTATGAAAAACCACAGCGATATGTTTTAGAATTGTATGCGTCCCCTTTTTCATGTATCCCTCTGCCTGTAAGACAGTTATTCCAGTTATTCTATCATTATGTATCTCAGGAGCTTGCAAGGATGTACATCCCCCCTTCAATAATATAAAACTCCTATTTCTGTGTTTGATGAATCACAGGTTATTGGTCCTTAAACCCATTCCTGGTACATGACTAAATGTCCTGTGACTTTGGTCAGTTTGCATTTTAGGGGAATTTCTGTAATTGGGTAGAAAAAAAAGGAAACCATCCTTCCTGGCAGATTTATTATATCCTATTTTTTAATTTAGAAAAGATCCTTTTGAAGCTGTTCAGAGATTTGCAATGTAGAATAAATCCAGGTTAAAGTAGATTACAGCACTCAGAGCAGATGAAGTGATCAAAGGTACATGACCAAGGCAATCCATCATGTTGTTATCTCCTCTTTGAGCATGGTACATATTTTAATATGTATGTTGGAATTTTCTCAGTATATGACATATGATATGATGTTTTCTAATAGATAATACATGCATTATTATACTGTGCCTTTAGGCTAGGGACAAATGTTACACATAAACTGGTTTAAATGATCAGGAACCAGTTTAAACCTGTAACAGAATAGAAGTTCAGTGCACATAAACCAGTTTCAGAATGGCTGAAACTGGTTTTAAGTAAACCTGGTTGAATATAGTATCAGATTTAACTGATTTAGGTCAAACTGGTTTAAGAAACTTCTGTCCCAGACCCTTTCCTGGTTCAAGTTAAATCAGAGTCCCCCAGCATTTTGCAGCCTTAGGCTTGGCTTTGCTGTCTGCTCCAGAGAGCAGGGCTGGCCCCGCCCCTCTGTTCCCTAGCTGGAGCAGTGAGGGCTGGCTCAATGGCCATCCCAGACAAATCCCTGCTGGGGTCTGGAGCCAAGGAGGGGAGATAAACTTCCCTTCCCCCAAGTACGGAGTTGCCCTGCCTTGCTTACTTAGTGCTGGCTGCAACTGTGGATTACTAATCCCAGAGGCACCTGGAAGTAGGAAGAGGAAGTGATGAATAACCCTGCAGAGTCCTGCTGCTGTGAGTCTTGACTGCAAATCCCAGAGACCTCGGGGGCAGCAGGAAGAGGAAGCGAACACACAGCCCATGCTAGCTATGTGCCAGAGAGCCATGCTTTAGCACTGCCTGGCTTCTGACCTGAGCTACTGCAGATATGTGACTGCACTTCCTAAATCAAAAGTGAATGTCTGTTCATTTGCTTTTTAGTTCAATCTTTGCATCTTAGACTAAACTGCAAAGACTGAATCAATTCAGCCTCGGGCTTTTTGACTGTCTGTACTTAGCCTGACAGAACAGAAGTTCAGTGCACTTAAACTGCTTTCAAAATGGCTGGAACTGGTTTAAAATAAACCTAGATGGATGTAGTAGTTAAGTGATTTAGGTCAAGCTGGTTTATGGAACTTCTGTCCCAGATCACCTCAACTTAACTCACAGTCCTCCAGCATCCCAGGATGCTGTCCATCCCTGGGCCGTGTTCTCTGCTTCAGCAGAGCAGGGTGGCCCTACCCCCAGCTTTAAGATCCCCGGCAGCCTGGAGCCTGATGGATTCCCCTGGCCCTGCCATCTCCTCCACCGGGGGAATAGGCCTGGCTTCCAGCTGGGGTAGGGGGAGTAAACCCCCAACTGCAGGCTTCCCTGTATGCTGGGCACAGTTTGGCTGGGGGTCTGGAGCAAGGGGGGCCCACCAGCTGAGGAAGTGGTGTGGCTGGGTGATTGCCCTGGCTCCCAGCTTCGGTGGGGGTAGTAAAAAAAAACCCCATTGTGGGCTCCCCCACCATTGCCTGGCACAGCCTAGCTGGGGGTCTGGAATAGTGGGAGGGAAGGCAGCCATTCCCCCCACCCCAAATCCCCTCCTCAGCCTGCCTGCTGGCCAGGGAGAGGACATGGCTGGGTCATTGTGCAAGCTCCCAGTTCCTGGCTCAGGCGGGGGGAGTAAAGCTCCCACTTCAGGCTCCCCCCCCACTCTGCACCAGGCACAGCCCAGCTGGGGGTCCAGAGCCAGGTAGAGGGGGGAAGTTTCCCTCTGCCAACTCCCTCCTAAGATGGGCCCACCAGCCTGGGAGGGGGTATAGCTGGGTTATCACCTCTGTGATTGCCTTGGCTCCAAGACTGGGGGTGAGTAAAGCCTCCACTGCAGGATTCCCCACAGCCGGGAGCTGTGGCAATCACCCGGCCATGCCCCCTCCCACTTGGCTGGTAGGCCAGCTGAGGAGGAAGTGTGGGGTAGGAGGGCCCTCCCACTTGGCTCTGGACCCCCAGCCAGGCTGTGGTCCACATGAGGGAGAAGCCTGCTGTGGAAGCCATTTTACCTTCCACCCCCCACAGTGGGGGCTTTACTCCCCTTGCCCAAGCCGGGAGCTGGGGTCATCACCCAGCCACTCCCCCTCCGTGGCCAACAGGCGGGCTGAGGAGGGAATGGAAGGGGTAAAAATGGCCTCAACTGCAGGCTTCCCCTGAGTCCAGCACCCAGCACAGCCCACCTCGGGGCCCAGAGCTGGTGATGGGGGTGTTTCCCACCCCCCACCCACTCCCTCCCCAGCTGGCCAGCTGGCCAAGGAGAGGGTATAGCCAGGTGATTGGCTCAGCTTCAGCTCTGGGTGAGGGGCGGTGGGGGAAGAGAGGGAGAAACATCCTGCTTGGGGCTTCCCTCTTCCCCCTTTACCCTCACACTGGGGAGACCCCAGCTGAGGGTCTGGTGCAGGGTTGGGGGGTTCCCTCTACACCCCCTCCTCAGTTGGTTCAGGCTGAAGAGGGGGCACTGCTAAGGGAACCAGCTCAGAGCATGGAGGAGAAAGAGAGAAATGCTTCACTGGGGGCTTCACCCCTCCCTCTTCCCCGGTACCAGGGAGACCCTGGCTAGGGGTCCAGTCGGGGGTGGGGGGTTTCCTCCCATGGCCCCTCCTCAGCTGGCTGGAGGCTGAAGAGGGAGCATGGCTGGGGAAGTCACTTGTCTCCTGGCTCTCTACAGTGGCCAGCAGGCTGGCAGGCATGCTCTAGTGCACCCCCCAGCATGGACCACTGCAGGGATCTGGCTGCATTTCATGTTTGAAAAGTGAACATCAGTTCACTTTTCTTGATTCAATCTAGGCAGTTTACAGAAACCTACAAAGATTGAATCAATTCAGCCTTGAGCTTTTTGAGTATCAGTACTTAGCTTTAAAGAAAATTTTCACTGGTTCTAGTGAGGAAAGGATTTCACTGTGCTGCATAACATTTCAGTACATCTGAAGTAAGTATTTCCCAAAATGAATGATGTTGTTAACAATGGTATTCACTCATGCATGCACTTTCAAAATTAGAATCTGAATCTCTTGGTTAAACTTAGTACTTGATCTCTGCATGTCAATAATTAAAAGACGCCAGCTAATATTCACTCCCCAACAAGGTGAGGAGTGCGCTCTTCTTAAATTCATATGTACTGATTTGTAGAGACACGGTTTAGATGGAGATGCTGACAAGTTGAGAAACCTGTCTTTTTCAATGGATGAACAAGAAAATGTTATTTCTGCTAAGAGTCCTAGGGACCCATCCCTTTATGATTATCATACAAAGTGATAGTTTTCTGACATTTACAAAAATATTTAAGTTATAAAATGGAAAGTCATGAAAAAATAACTCACAGGCTGTCCAGGTTCATCTCCTCCCAGGATTCTGAAGCCAAACCCAGACTCCATCCTCCGAAGGTGAACATCCAGCTCTTTGTAATCTGGACCTGGTTTAAAAGGAAATACCAGTGAATAATATGTTTGTATTTTCCCTTGAATAACCCTGTGATTTGTGTATTGAAAATGGTTAATGAGTCCTGTTACAGCTGGTGAAAACTGTAATGAAACATAGTACATTGCACCCAGACAAAGAGAAGACACAAGCACTTGAATATGAGGCTATATCAGAAGATGATGACATGTAGTAAAGTACACTGACCCCAAACTAGAAAGCTGTCACACGTGACTAGTATGAGAAAAAATCTGTCCAAGATACAAGGCCTGGTATGCTGCCTTCTTCCTATAACTGCTTTTGCCTTGTGTTTTGTTGGTTGGCACATTGGCCATGTCTACACATGTGGCAGATTGTGCAGTTGTTACTGAAAGGAAAAACTGTGCAGAAACCGGCGTTACTGCACAGTACCATTGCCGCATGGTTTTTGCCCAACGCTACTGTGCAGTAACTTGTTACTATTATGCAGTATTGCCACCACACGGTTAGTGCCCGGCAACACTACTGTGTGGTAGCAACAAGCTATGGCGCTGTAGTTCATTGCTGTGGCACCATGGCATCTCGTGTTGATGTGCCCAGTGATGCCCTTTACTTTGTAACTTCATTATAATTCATTAGAACAGTAATCTTCAGTGGGAGCTAGACATACAAGAAAAATTATCAGATCCAACTACAAGCCAATAGTTAAATAACCCTTACAGAAAAATAATATTTTGTCCTATGCATGGATATAAAATAGTAGAGTGTTTGATATATTTAATAAAGAATTTCATTCTTTATTCAATAATACATTGAATAAAGAATTTCAAGGAAAGCTGTCAAAACCCTAAAATTTTGGGGTTTAAATGGAAAGCTAAGAAAAACATTAACTTAAACACTTCTATGTTGTTTCAATTAAAGTCTCAATGGCTTTATAAATCATTAAAATTCTGCTTTCAGATGACTATAACTTGGCTATAAAAATATGTTCTGTGCTAGAACTTGTCATACAAGCTTCTAGCTGAAGAACACTTTGCATTTTTTAAATTAAACTCTTAGAGAAATAGCTTATTTTAAAGTTAGTAATGTACTGGGTAAAAAAAAATACTAATTTAGAGTTTCAGGCTTTCATGCACTCATCATTTTAAAGAAAATACAGTAAAATAGTGAGCACTCAAGGGACTGACTAAAATCGGCTGCTTTAACAAAGATGGTCATCTAGTCAATATATTGGAAATAAAGTGTGACGCTTACCTAAAACAGGGGTCTCCTGAACACATTTCATTATAGTCCATAAGTTGGGATAATGCTTTTCAGCATTTTCAAGCCTGTTACATCATGGACTTCCAGATTCATACTGTTTGAGTTCTTTATTGGTCAAAAGTGGTTTTGCACTCTAACTTTATTTCCCCCCACAAATTGTAACTTGTCAAATTCTATATTGTGCCTTCAGGAAGTGGAGCTTTAGGTGAAGTAGGTTAAAGATAGTTGATCTGAAGATTCCTGGGTACTAATAGTTACAGGTTTCCATAATGGGCTCTGTTTGGACTATGGCACCACTCCAAATCTTCATAGCATCACATGGAGCAGGCCTTAGCCTTGCCCCAATGCACTCATCTTCCCCCAAACCAGAGCTCTCAAGGGGCATATGAGGTTACAAATGTTGGTGCTATAGTACAACTGTGCTGGATAAATTCTCACCAGACCATTAGGGCATATTAAAGGGCCCTCTACACTGTTGGAATAGTTCATTGGGATATTTTTGGGAGACAGAGACTGTTCCAAGAAATATTAAGAGGGACACTTGTTGCAAATGAGAAGAAAGAGCTTCAACAATGTATGAAAACAGTTGGCATCATGGTCCATTGTGGGTCTGATCCTAATCCTTGAAGTCAATGAGAGATGTTAACAGTCTTAGTATATCAGATCCCTAAGGAGTCAGTCTTTTGATTGAAGGACACATAAGGATCCCTGTATCTGCATGAGTTCATACTTATGGAAAGAGCAGGGCTTAACTGTCTACTGATCCCCACTGTCTCCAAATTAACTAATAATTTCCCATGTGACATTTATCAAATGCTTAACTGAAGTCTAGGCATAATAGATCTACAACATTTCCCTTGTTTAGAAATATCAGTTTGGTTTTTTTTAACCAAAAAGAAATATCAGATTACTGTAGCAATCCTGATTTGGTAGATTTGAGAAATTCTTCTTATCAACCTTGTATTTTGATATCCCAGTCCTTTCAATATTTTGCTGTGTTGATTTTCTGCCCATCTTCCCTCTTTGGTATAACTTCAGTGCCTGCTCTTAAGATTCACGCTTTGAGTATGGGTTTTTCTGTGAGGGATTGTTACTTATGCCAAATTTTGGCATTTTCCCTGGTGCAGATAGTAATTTCTTTTCATAGTCAAAGACAAAATTTATTTACTTAGAATAAAGTAATACTATTATGCCCTAAGGTCTACTAAACCCTGAATATAAGTATATATTCATTATAGAAAATGCAATTTAGTAAACTAGGTTAACACCTTGCAATCTACCACAAATAAGTAAAAATGGGTAGTTCTTTGCTACAGGAGCAAGGCAGAGACTGAATTATGACAGCTTGCTTCCTGAAGCAACATTTTGCTCAAAGCCAACTTGTTTTAGTTAGGTGATGCATTCCTTTCTCTCCCTTTATGTGGAACTCTGAGTAGCTGCTTCATTGCAATTTTTCTCTGTGCATGAATTGATATGGGTAGCCTGAACAGGGGAATGAGAATGTGTCTTATACACCCTTACTTTACTGCAACTAACTGTTGGTAGTATGTTATAAAGTTTCAGTGGGAGTAAACTTTTTAATAGAATATTTAGCCAGAAAAAAACAAAATTAACCAGTTGCCAACTTCTTAAACTGTCCCTGTGATTATGAGAATTAAATAAGACAAACAACGATCTCATCACAACACAGTAAAGCTGCTACAGAAAAATGGGACATTCTGACTGGTGGTTCCTTATGAAATGGAAGTGTGTTTTATAATACAAATATTGCACTTCGGTGTATTGTTAGTGATCAGAGAGATCTCATACATGCGAAGGTGATTATGATCTTTCAGTTTATTTTTTGGTATTGTATTCATTCAAATCCTGAGGTGCATTTCAGATTGATAAACGTGTACACATTTTTTTAAGGCATGAGACTAGAAGAGACGCTGTTACAGAAAATGATTGGTTCTTTTATGGATGATTCAATTCCTACAATGCAAAGAAAGAATTTTAAATTAACCATGTAACTGGGTTAACTTTCTACATGGGATGATGCTGTAAAAACTGCCTTCAGGTTTTTTCTTAAATCTCTTCTACCTCTTAGTTAAAACAGGAACACGTAGTATTATCATTAAGAAGTCTGCAGTTTTACAGTGTTTATTAAGTTCTCCTGGTATGAGTAAACATGATCGATCTGAAGATAACAGAAAAAAGGTCTACATGACAGTTAGAGGACAAGTCAGGAACTTACAAATTATTCTTATGAATCATGGTTAATGTAAATGTGCAACACATTTATTGTAGAGTTTCAGGTGTTCTTGAAAAATAGAAAAAGATTGAAAACCAGTTATGAACCAAATCATCTGACATTAGTGGATTTTTTTCTAAAATGCAATCAATTTTGTTTTTTTCTACATATGCAAAGGAAGAACCTAGTAAATAGGGGCTGCAGTACAGAAAATAGCAGAGCTAAAAAGGAAATCTGTATCCTCTGGAGTTAATTCAAATGTCTATATAAAGGGAAATGTGTAATCAATCTCTAAGCCCCAAAAGGTGTGGGAAAACAACCTAAATCCCTATTTCTGCAATTATTTAAGCACACAAGTTAAGTAACTTACATGTGTAAGCAGCATTTACTTTAACAACATGAGACTTCAGGAAATTGAACCAATTCTTTCTAAAATCTTGACATTTAAAAAAAATGGATGCTGGTTAAAAATGCTGAGAAAGTTCTGATATTTATTTATTTATTTTAGAGAAAGAGAAATGTTTAGGGATGAAAGAAACCTTTGCATCTGTGTAACCCTTTCTTTCTGCCACGGTAAAGTCGACTTTGCATTACCTGCAAATATATTCAGTTAGGACCAGATCCTATTCCATCTCTTTAGTGTTGCTAGCCCAGAAAGTACAAGTCTGAACTCAGGAGTATAATCCTATTCTGCCACTCACACAAGAGTGAAGTCTTGTGTGTCCATAGTGGCTATTCCTTCCTATGGACATGCATAGTTCATTCAGGGGATGGGAAGCTTCGTATGACTGTAGAGATGATCCTGTTCTGCCCAGAAGGGCACATGGCTCTCCCTTTCTTTCAGTGGGACACTGCTTCTGTCAGGAGGGGCTCTAACTTGTTAAGAGGGTAATGCCTTTTTGAGCTCCAGTCCAGTCTGAGAACCGGTGTTTACCTGAACCATTAAGTTTCACTGACAAATAGCATCATAGACTTCAATGTAAATTAAAAGGGAGAAGAGACATCCCACTTTTCTCTATTTGCCTAGTGGTTAGGGCATGCATCCAGGAAGTGGGAGACTTGGGTTTTAGCCCCTCCTCAGCCAGAGCAGTTTTGAACTCACATCTCCCACTTTTCAGAAAGTGCCTGAACCACTAGGTAGGGGTCAGCAATGTTTTTGGGCAGAGTGCAAAAAAACACCCACAACCTTGACCTGTAAGATGTTGGTGTGACGGGGCGGATGGTGGGAGAGCCGGGAGGGGCCCGATCCTTGTTGTGGCAGTGTAGCTGCAGTCCCTTCCCTGCTGTCTGCCCCGAGGCATGTGTGCCAAGTAAAATGCTCTAGCATACTTTGCCTACTCCTGCCCTAGACTATAGGCTATGCAGGGCATTTCTTCTGTTGAAGGAATATAAAAGTTGTGAAAGTCATGAAAAGCCGGGAAGCAAGTAAGAGTGAGCCCGACACTAGAACCTTGTGAGCTAGACATTTCTCTGACAAGAAGGCAGCTCTGCATTCTGCTCCAAGCTCCTAATGCTGTTTATGTATTTTGTTCCATTTTTATTTAATCCAAAATGTATGAACAGCATTGGGAGCAGAATTCAAGTTCAGTCCTTCCCTTCCAGGAGACTGCCCACCCCAGGCTCCTCTTTGCCCTCCTTTTGGGAGAAGGGCATATTTTGGTAAGTGGGAGAGGTAAATTCAAATGCTGTCAGGCTGAATTGGACATAGAACCCAGAACTCCAAATATCTTGGTAAATCCCCTTAGCTCTAGCCTTTAAAATTGGCATGAAGTGGATGCAACCTCATCATCCTCACTGAGGTGATGCATGCATAACCTTATCATAAGCCAGCTGTTCTTTGTGATATTCCTTTGTCCCATGATCAGAAATGTGATTAGTATGGGATGCAACAGGACTTAGATGGAAGTAGACATTTAGGTACGCTTCTGGGAATGTGCAGTGGGCCAAGTCCAGTAGCCTAGCAATTGTTTCAGGTCAAGAAGTGCATATTTAGTCAGCTTAGTGGTTTTGTAGCTGCTGAATGAAGTGGGTTAGAACTGCAGTTAGTGACTCTGATGCTTAAAAGACACAAAGAGTGCCATTTAAATGTCTTCTGGGCGGAACAGGATCTGTTTAAACTTAGATAAAGGAATATTATTTATGTTACTACACTAGGTGACCAGCACAAATAATATCAAACTCTGTTAATCAAAAGCTATGAAAATCTACAGGAGCAAGAGATTTAGTGTGTAACAGTGTCTAGCCTATAACTAAGTAGCAAACTGAAAAGCTGTACTATACAGAACGGTGACTGGACATTTGCAATTGGCCATAACCTGGAGCAATGATTAAAGGAGGAAGAGTTACTTAAACATGAAATGGAGGACAATTATTTTACAGAACAATGAAGGCTGAAGAATACTTGCCAGAGGAATCCATTCGAAAACCAGTCCTGGGCGGCACTTGCTCTGAATAGGAAAATGGGGAATTAAAGATGAAATACATTTCTCAAGGTATTTTAAAGATGCAGCACCATCTTCTTTATGGTGGTCTGAATTACTAAAGTGCAATTGATAATTGTTATTAGCTATGTTTTCCCTCAATTTCTAGCTCATCAACATACATATTCTAGCTAGCCATACATATTCACAGACCTCTCAATTTCCTTTGTAAAGTGCAACGGATAGTAAACTGGTAGAATTACTTCAATGTAACTGAAATTGTAAATGTTAATAAAAATTGTACAAGTTAGTAGAAATGGCTATATTTTTCATATACAACATTAAACATGAATAGAAACTTCAACAGCTGAAACTAAAGGACTCACTGAAGTTGATTCTCCTAACATCACCAATAGGAGCAGAAACATGAGAAAGAAATGTATATTGCAAATACTAACAGGTGACCCTGGAGCTGAATCCTCTTTTACGGCTCTTTTGTGCATTACAAACTGCTTTAACTGTGAACTTGCACCTTATGGTGTGTACTTAATGATTATGCAACAGACCAGGATCCTAGTGACTGGCAAAGAATGGCTGAGTAAATCACATACCGTAAATCATGGTCAAGCTATTCATTCCATAAATGGCTTGCTTTTGATGCTATAAGTGAAACTTGATATCTCAGAGTGGTTCCCAAACTTTTGGAGCAATTGGCCATTGTTAACTTTCCAAATTGCTTGCAGATGATCATAGATCCTTATCAACACACTTTTAATTGAAATGAAAAGTGTGGTACAATTGAGAAAGCGCTGATTAGACATGTTTGCCACTGAAGTCTGGCATGTATCATATCAGTATCTGTAGTAGGACTATAGGACTGTTACATTCCTGAGTCTGAAGGATCTCAGCACAGAAGTATCTGAGAGTTCACACCACCAGATGAACTGGTCTCCTTGATGCAGATATGGTCTATAGTGTGTATTTTAAAAATATAGAATAAAAATTGAGGTTAAAAAAATAATATTTTTTAAATACAGCGGGACAGAAACCACTGGAGCAAACAACCTGGTTTCTTAGCTACAAGTCTTTTCAAAAATATATACTCAACACACTTTTGAACACTTTGGAGTAATGCCTAAAAAAGCGTAATCCCTTACCCTGGTTTCAGTGTTGTTTGTTTTCCTAGGAGTGCTATATAATCTATCTTCAAGGGGTGTTTGGGCCTCCTCCAGCATGAACTATGAAAGGTTTTAACTACCACTGTTTTACCTAAGCAGACTGGAGATTTTAGGAAGAGGTGACTAAGAGAAAGCAGGCATACTTTTCTGCCACTCTTATCCTGAAATTACGCATCAACAGTTGAAAACTTCCCCCTTTAGTCAATATTGAATAAATATTCCAGGATCAAAATCTTTTCCAGTGGAGGGAGAACTGAAGTCATTTGAGAACGTATGATATATTTTTATAGAAGTAGGAAAAATAACCCCATTGTCTCAGCCAAATGTAGGTAATTTATATTCTGCTGTCCTAAAATGCCTTTTGGTGTTTGGAAAGGGCTGGACTGGACTCTGGTGTAAGTTGGAGAAGATATCCTTATTCTCCTGCTGTCTGAAGAGTTGTGTAAAGTACACATTAGAGGGGGGGCTGCAATCCAAATGTACTTCAGTGGCAAATGAAGCAATTCCTTAATATACTCTGTAGTTTGTAAAGTGATCTGGGATTTTTCAAGATGAAAAGTGCTATCTAAATGTAAATTATACTATTGGAAGAAATACTGGAAGTAGGAACCTTTGAAAAAGATGCTGCTCCACTGCACACTGAGAGAAATGTTCTCCTCTACTTAAAGCTTTTTCTGGATTTTAATGGAATTTAAAAAAGAGAGTATGATTTTAATGCACAAAAAACAATTTCACTTGATAGTCCCTATAAGATTTTATGCTTGGAGGTATCTGAGCTTTTTTAAATGGTCATCTACCTAGACTTACTCTCTCAAGGGATTCTTAATTTGGGTCATTTTGTGTTTCTTGTTAGTACTTGTCAATCTTTCTAGTACTATTCTGTATTGGCCTTGTGCACCATTCTGGAAAAAAGATGGAATTACTGAATTATATTAATGCCACTATAATTATATAAAAGTTTGAGGTTCTTCCATTTTGTTAATTGTCCTTTGGTCCAATCAAACTATTTTGCAGGAAAAAACTGAGCGCCGAAAATGACTTTGTGCGCCAAAGATTTTATGTGCAGATTTTATATGCCAGAGTCTAAAACTGAAATCCATGGAGGCCCACCTGAGGACAGCCTAAAACCCAGGTTTTCCATTTCATAGGTGAGTGCTCTTACCAATAAGTTATTCTATATATAAATTCTTTTTTATAATATTGGCTTCTCCTTTCAAAGTATGCCTGCTGGTGCCTACGTTCAAGAGAGGACGCTAAGCTCTGAACAGTTTCTTTGGATTTCCTTCTTTCATGAATTTTTCCTTTTTCCATGAATTGTTCACAGACAATCTCATTCAGTCTGATATGGCATTTGTTCCTGAGTAATTTCATTTTCTTTGTTTTCCTACAAAACACTACATATTTTTCCATTTTGTCCTTAATAACTTTTTGTTTTAAATCAACAGTTCAACAACAATTTTTTATTTAATCTATTTTATACCCTCACAGATCTGAAAAACAGGTTTTTTATTATTATTCCTTGAGTACTGTTGCAGTACTAAAGGGAAATTGCTTTAGCCTATGCTCACTGAAAAGAGAATTGCTTTCTCTGGCCATGCCAGAGTAATGTTTCTTTAGAAACAGTCTCATCCCTACATATCGCACAGGATATGCGATAGTAATAGTGCAACTTTTTATTTCAATGAAAATACCACCTTTAGGATGGTGGGGACTTGGAGCTTGGCTTGCATATTATGTATCATACCAACAACTAGCAGGAGACATATAAGGGAAGGTCTCTGAGAATGACCCCTCAAGAGTAATCAGTAACCACCCGTTATCAGGTGCAGAGATGTAAATTGCTGTTCGACACTCACACAGACGTATGCTCAGGCAGTCGACAAAGCCTTCGAGAAAAACAGATTCTAAGTGAAGGGGCAGATATAACCTGGAGATCTTGCTTTTTCTCCTCTCTATTTTCCTTCCACCCTTCTCTAAAATATAATGAAATCTGTCACAAAAATCACAGAAGTAGTTGATGGATGTACTAACTGAGGTTGTAACATAACTGCCTCTCTCTCTAGGATGTGTCCATGGAATATAAGATTATAAGATGGATTTGGACTTGTCCTCAGCCAAGCAGATATGTGCTAATTCTGTATATGGCAGCAATCCAAAATTCAGAGGTGTAGTGAGCTCACTGAGTGCCCGAGGCAAGGAGCGGGCATTGGGCATGGGAGGATTGTGATGCCTGTAGACTGGTGCAGTGGGGAACATGGGGAAGAGGAGGTTTACTTTCCTGGGCTACTGCTGCCACAACAGTGTCAGTTCCCCTGTGGTGGTGGCAGGGGATGGCTGGGCTCCCTGGGAGCTGACCCTGCTGTCCTCTTTGCTCTCTCCTTCCCACTTGCGTACATCATGGGTACAGGGTTGTGTTCGCTCTGGAAAATGCTCTCCAGAAGGGGAGCCCGACTCCACTGACTCTGCTTGGTGTGGCGCTCCTTTGCTTGGCACCTACAGCTGGGAAGGGGATGCACAGGACTTCCCCTGCTATTACAAAAACTTCTGGGGGCCGGGGGGATGATTCAGGTTCCCCCTCATAGTCAGTGCCTAGGGCAGAAGCCCTGTTTCCCCTGGCCTAGTTTTGCTAAACTTTGCTGGAGATGTTCATTTTACAAAAAATATTCAGAGACTTTGCCTCCCAATATACACTAAAGAGCTGAGAAATATCCTTTTATAAACAACAATTTTAGATAAAGGAGAAGGTGTGCATGTAGCAGTTTTAACCTTCCTTTTAATTTCATTACATTCTGTTTAGCATCCCCTCATTAAGTATTGATTTCTTACATTAAGATTCATCCCTTCAGCTACTAGGAAGTCAGGAAACAGGGCTGCTAGTAAAAGCCAGTATAATGAGACCAGACTGTCTCATTTCTAGTTCTTTAGTGATAGCCATTTCTGCGACAGTCAAGTAAGTATAGCACAGAAGTAGGCAGTTACAAATATAGAAGACACATGGTAGAAAGAGCTCACGCTCTAAGAAAAGAAAATCTCCCTGACACTGAGGGGGAAGCTGGGTGCAGCCTGGAAAAGAATACAAGATTTAATGGCGTGGATTTATTGCGTGTCTCCCCTTTCTCCATTTTTTGCATTAAACTAATAGAGCAATGAGGGGGGAAAAGGCTTTATAATAATTGGACTTAAGTAAGTGACAGAAGGGATTTTTTTATTGTGGGGCTTTTAATCTCTTCTCTTTATGGTGTCTGTCAATGCAGACATATCGATAAATATATAAAAGCAGAAAGGGGCAAGCTGAGACACTTATAGCAATCACTGAAAATACATCTAGGTCCCCCCATCTTCCAAATAACAAGATAAATAAGATAAAAAATGGTTCTTGGTTTATTCAGGATCAGATCCCTTTCTTCATATCAAGTAAATGCTACCTTAAAGATTTATTGATGAGTTAATCGTGGTCTCCTTATAGTTTGTCATCATTTCTAGAGCCAGAACATCCCACATATTTGCGATCCATCTGTTCACAGAAGGAGCACTGGATATTGCCAATATGTTGTGAAGTCTTTTTTCTAAACAATGTCATGTGAAATGAGAGCTCCCCAGATGTCTGTAAATTCAGAGGTAGGTCATGGGCCAGCCACAATATTTTCTTTCTTTTTGACTAAAAGAATGAACCTATGCTCACTCTTTTTCTTTAGGAATAAGCATTTGTTGAGTGCTCCCACTATTCGTGCTGTTAAACAAAGCTTATTTCATATGCAATGCTCCAAGTACAATATTAATATTTATTGTGTAAATAACCTGTTGTACTCTCTTGTCTCATGGGGGACTCTTGTATTCATCAGCCTCCCT